GCAGTATTAGTGATTAAGTAATGAAGTTTTATAAATATAGAGTGAGTATTAATTTTAAGAATTATGAGAGAAAGTTATGTGATCTTTATATAAGAGATAGATTTATAGTGATGTAAAAAGAGCCTATTCCATAAAAACATCAGTTGTGTGGGATGAAGGATATTTTATAAGATATATACTAGGAAGCATGGGAACTAAGATTGTTTTACGTGCTTAAGATTAGTGATTATTTATAGTATTTTGTATTCTTTATAATCTCTACATTTATAGTAAAATTTTTTTGTCTATAAATGTAGATAATTAAACTAAATCATATTAAATATTGCTTCTAATACGTGATTTATTTTATGTTCATTTTATTGTGAAATTCATTTATGCTTAAGAAATCCCAACAAAACTAACTCATAAAAATCCTTTAGATGTTATAGTAGTTTATTAACATTTTTTTATGAATTATATATATTAATATAATTAAACGAAATTCATATTTTACAAGATTTAAATTTGAGACGTAACAATTTTATCTTTTTCATTTGTTAAGACAAGAATTAATTCACAGGCACTAACATATTTAATTTTAATATTGCATGTATAATAAGATGAATTTAGCTAATTAGTAGGATAATGTTTGTAGAGTGGTTGGTTCTCAGCTTCCCATAGAAAACAACAATTCAACATCAAAAGCAACCAATAATTTTGCGACCAAGGCCTTTATAGAGGGCGGTGGTTGTGATTACTGGATTTAAATTGCAATTATAATAATTACAATTGCCACAATGATAATGAAAGCCAGGCTAATAAGTTTTCAACGCTGATTGGTGAAACTTACACTCATTCATAAATAGATAAGGATATAACTTCCTTTTTAAAGTTAAAATTTAAAGTTAGTTTGATGTGATTAATATTTATAGATATCAAATCATTAACAAATAAATCTAAAAAAGCTTAAGTAATCAGTGCAATGGAACCAATAATTAAAGTGGATTAAAGTAAATAACATCTAGAACAATTTGTGACTGAAAGAAATTCGTCGCTGGCCATTTTAGTTTACATTTGGAAGTCCAGTTTTGTTGATGGTTGAGTTAATAATATAATGCCGTCAATCTCATATTAAAAAAATACGTGAATATGATATGATATATAAATTAAAATTTAATCTTAAATTTATGATATATTTTTTGTAAAAAAAATCTTAAAATTTTTATATTAAAATAGATAATATTTTATAATTTAAATACGAATTTTCATAAATAAGCTACTTATTATAAGAAGAATAAGAACCTTATACGCATATATTTTCATTTTCATAAAATCAGATTTGTAATGTGATCAAACATGAGATTGTAGTTTCAATAATGAAGACGACAAAATCAAATATTACGCCATTTGGAATCATATTTTAAAAGAATTTTTAGAGTTTATGCTTTCTTTTATTGGAAGTAAGTTTTCCAATTAAATGAATTTCAATTGTACGTTATTGATAATATCCTTAGTTCAGCAGGTTTTTCATTTTAAATTATCAGCTACTTTTCAACTAATGTTCGATTTTTATTATCCCAAATTTTATTTTGGATGTGATAAATAAAAAATAATAATTAATATGGTAAAATGTTTCTAAAAATTAAAAAAAATGTACATGATTTGAATTGGTTAAAAAAAATACGAAAGGCAGATTCCAAAAGAAAATTGCTTGAAACATGAACCCGCACCAACCCTCCCTTTGCGAAGGATATCAATAAGAGTGGTTGGTAGTAGGCTGAGTTGCTTGGGAAAAAGATTCATTTTCATTTTGAAATGACCTATTCTCCGAACATTTTAATCTCTGGGGTCATGTCATGGGCCCTGAGCAGAGTACAGTTATCATTTTCTCAACCACAAAAATTACCAAAACAAAGAAAACCATTTGGTTTACATAAGAACATTATTGTTGTTAAAATATTCATAAAATAATAGAAGTCAAATAGGTGGGTTTTTTTCTTTCGTGCGTTGGCGTTTGGTTGGGGATCAACTAGAATCTTTGAAACCGAATATACACTTTGGCTACGTCAAGTTTTATAACTCAAATCAATATTTATTTTAGAATGTCACTAATCTAGATGACTACAAACTGAAAATGATATTTTTATTATTATTTTTTGGATTCTTGATCTATATATAGAGATGTTTATCTACAAATATCATTATAAAATTAAATTTTAACCATATATATATTTAAAAATGTTTGCTTAAATTATTTGAAAGTTTTATTCTATTTTTTTTAATAAAAAAATTTAAGATAATTAGATTGTTCAGTTCTTTAAACTAAGATAAGATATATCGTATTTGATAACTTAAAATAAATTATTATAAATTATACATTCGAGATAATTTCAAGAAACGATAATTTATAAATTTTAAACTTAAAATTTATTTATTAAAAAAATAAATTTTAATCAATTGATCTAATCATTTATTGATATTATTTCAATTAATTATTTTATTCTGTTCGAAACCTAAGGGTCAAGGCATTTAAATTAATCGAGCCAGACTTAGGTAATGGCTTCCTCCAGCTGGATTAAGAAATTTGTTTCATTACTTTCATCCACCAATAAAACAGAAGGGCAAGACCAAAAGCTTCTCTCACATCATAGTTTGTAAGCTTCGTTTTTAAGATTTAAATTAATCATGTCATCATATTCACAAAGAGCAAGTTGTACTCCTGTTTTGTATTAGTATAAACAAATAATGCAATTGACCAGAGCTTCATTTAATATTGAATCGCCGTATTCTAAATCATCAAGCTCAAGGAAATATAGTGTTTTTTTTTTTTTTGTATATTAAAATTTTCATTAATTGTTGGTGGACTGATGATGGTAGTTGCGTGGTTTACGTGACAAATGAGATTGAATTATTTGTCGTTTAGGCCGCAAGAAAATCTTAGGAATCTATAAATAAGGTTACAGGCTGTCTTAATGGGACCAGATAATTATACTACAGTAAAAACATATAAAGATATGTTTCATATATAATCACATAATTTGTTGACAAGAGTAATAAAATTTTAATTTCAGTAATTAATATTTAATTCTTTTATAATTTCAAATATATATATATATATATATATATAACGTCTTCTGGGAAATGGGAAGGCCAAAGGCTTTCATCCTTCAAAGTGGAATCAATACATACATTAGACATGAACAAATATATATAACAGCAATACTCATGAACATGGGCAATACTCCTTCGCAGATTCCAGGAGTCAAGACTCAACGGGATAATGAGCCCTTCGTGTGTATTAACGTTGGGAGTGGGAGAAGGCGGAAGCCTGTCACACTTTGTAACTTATATGTTGAAGAGGCCATGCGTGCCACCGCACACTAGGTACGTGCGCGCGCCCATTGAACCTCAGAGTTGGTTCTTTCAGCTAGTTAAACTCACTTAAACACCTAAGAACTCGTTAATCCAGACAAAGAAAAGGGTTGATCTGTCAGGTTAATTATAGCAGAAATATCTGTATATGTAACTTTCAAGATCATCGCTATATATGAAAAGCACATGCATCCTCAGCTAGTGATAGTAGAAATTTAAAAAGATTTTACACTAATCATTTGAAAACGAAAATATCGAACACTGAATTCATATATACATATATTGTGTTAATGAAAAACTCAACTTCTAACTGAGCTTTTGGTCGAGGTTTGGCTCAAACGGCATCCGATTATGTTCGCCTGTGCAATGTCCCTATCCTACGAGATAAATTAATAAGTTAAAGGGAATGGAAGTTCAACAGACGTAGATTAAGAGCTAAAAAAGGAAATGGCGGTGGGCATTAATTGCCGAACACGCATCTATCCATCTATCTTAAAAAAGGAAAAATCTTAGAAATGGGGCTACGCTCTCTTAAGCAAAGGCCAATGGGCAGGGTTGCAATTTGAGTTTACAAGTAGAGACAGCACGTGGGTCTTTTGTATATAACAGCAGAAAATTTCATTTTCGAGCAACCTTTTTGTCTGCCAACAAAACGCTTACACGTGAAGATGCCTGCTTTGTGGTTTTGTTCTTTTTTTTTTTTTTCTTAATTGTAAAGAAAGAATCCTTATTGGACTACAAAAACTTTATAATTGTTATTTAATTTGTCCATCAAGAAGATGATAAATGAGAAAAAAAAATGTGCAAAGTTTTGGATTCTTCTCTGTTGGACTACTTGATTTGCATGCCCATAGATCTGACCATTCATACAATTATTTAAGTATGCCTGTCGGAAAAAAATAACAGTACTAATAATAAACAAATTGCCAAGAGAATATATATACTATTTTCTTGAACATAAATCACAGAGAATCACTGCGGTGTAGGTGATGCTTTGGTAGATGGAGGTAGGTTGAGTGTTGCAAGTGCCTGGTGGGTAGCTGGGAATATTGAAAAGGACAAGCTAGCAGTGAAAGCTCGGTTTCCTTTCCTATGTTTCTTTTGATTAAAAAGTGGTTAACAAAGAAAGAAAGGAAAGGAAATGTGTTGAACCTACTAGTCCTAGTCATTATATGAGAAGAACCATTGCTAGTATTCCACCAACCCAATTATAAGACTTAATTGCATTTCATCTCTAGTTTATTTAATTAACATGAACTTTAACTTTACATGCCTAGAAGCATTCTTTTCTTTAAGCTCTTGATTTGTCAAAGCTCAGCTTCGTTTAAATAATTCCATGTGTTTTGCACGGAAAAGAAATTAGTAAAAGCAAGGATATTGTTGGACTTTTGGGAAATTAATCATGTCATTAGATTTTCCAAAAACCAAGTTTTGTTTTGATGGGGAATATACTAATTGATTTATTAGCTTTTAATTGAAAATTATTAAGGTTGGTGGATCTTGTCCTCCATAGCTAATTTGAGGCAAAATATATAGTTTTCTTGTTGGACTTTTTTCGGGATGCTGTGGGCAGGTCGTTTGCTGGTGACTCAGCCAAATGCACACCTTTACAGGACAAATTAATCACAGTTCACTTTTTTTAGATTCTGATGCAGTGAGTTTCATTCACCTTTGTTTTTACTTCCTCCCAGTGAGATCTTCACTTCAAGTGGCTTAGAAGTCATCGTTTCTCTTGTTTGCGGTGACCTGTATAAATCTTTTGACATGGTGAAAAATGAAAACAGATAAAGATTTTGCTCCATTGCTGTCAAATTCTTGGGGTGGAAACACTCCAAAATAATGTTGTGGAAGCCAAGTCCATGCTCAGAATGTGACTGCAGCCAAGGACTAATGGTTTGCCTTGGCCTTGAGTAAGATAATCGGATGATGATATATTAGTGAAATTAGTTTCATGGTCTTGGGGAATAAGTTTTGGTGGTTAAGACGTTACTTTTAGATTTGGTAGCTAGCTTTTATTACAGTAGTTGTACGTGAATTAATCAAAAGGAAACCCCTCATGCACACTAGGTTGGCACAATCTTCCCAACCTAGTGCATTGGAAGTTCTCTAAGATACCCATGACATGCAAGATCTTACTAAACCAACTATATTTGTTCACTGGCACACATTGTTGCTTTGATCTAAGATTATCAATATGTTGAGGTATTTTTGGGTTCCATAGAGGATGACTCGTTGGGGCTGGGCTGGTCGAACTTGTCAAGAGAATAAGGTCAGGGGCACTAGAGTTAAGCCTCCGGGACATGTTCTAACATTCAAGTCAGACTGTGCCTGAGAAAGGAAGTGGTGAATAGCAGAAAAGAAAGGGTAGAGATAGAGCAGGTGGAAGGGATCACCTAAACCTTTTCCCCTGGTTTGTCAAGTGTGATGCATGCCATCCGTCTCATTGGTAGGGTTTGGTTATGACATTTGACATTTATTGGGGCATTCTTTTCTTGGGGCCTCATAGGTCGGACTTAATATTTCTACAAGAAATTTCTTCTTGCAGTTTCTCATACTCTTTCCCAACTTTTTTTTTTTAATTAAACTCTCTTCCTACTATTTCACAAAGCAAGTGAGTGAGATTAGCAACAACAGGAGATCAACCTGTTGGGAGGTTTTGAAAATTCGAAACATGAGAGCCAATTTGATTTGGATCCTAGCACTTTGCTAGATAATGATTCTAGTTTCTCTCTTCAATTCCTACTTTGAATTTTTCCATCACTTGCCTCTGTCCTTCTCTTATATTCTTTTGTTTCTCACTAATTTCCTCCATTTCTGCTTAGAGCCTCTTAAACTTTTCTTGCATGTTCTTCTTTCCACTCTTTCTCTTTTCATTCTTCAATTCAAAGTTGGAGGGTAAATAATACGATCACAACAAATATTTCAAATTGCATTTGAAAAAAGAAAAGGGGAAAGGGTGGAATAAAGAACATGCAACAAAAGTTTAGGAGGTTCAAAGCGAAAATGGAGTATATCAGCAGACAACAGGGAACCAAAGAATATAAGAGGAGGATAAAGACAAGTGAGAGAAAAATTTGAACCCATGAAAGGGAGTGTGAGGAATTGGTGAGAGAAACTAGAATTATTATCCAACAAAGTACCAAAACCCAAATTAAGTTGGCTCCAATGTTCCAAATTTTCAAAGCCTTCTAACAGGCTGACCTCGCCACTGTTGCCAATTCACTCTGCTTCGTAAAATAGTAAAAAGAGAGAATGAGGAACTGCAAGGAGAAATTTTTTCTGCTGGTAGAATTATTAAGCCTAACCTATGAGGTGTACAGGAGAAGAATGCCACAAGGAATCCACATGTCTCAGTCAAACCCATAAGACAGATGGCATGCATCAAACCTGGCAAATGGAAGGTAAAGGTATAAAAGGCATCTAAAAACAGTAAAGGGGCCAAACTTTGAAGATATTAGACAGTTAGCATTTACAACTGGTCTTTGCCGACATACCCGATATGGGCCACTAGTACCTAAGATGTTAAGATGAGTGCAACCAAGAGAAATAAATTTGAAATATATGAGAATAAAATCCAAAATATAAATAATGTTTGATTGCCGTAACTATCGAACTCTAAAAGTATCCTGAGAAACAATGTTTTGTGCCAAATAAGATAAGTAAATACTAAAGCAAGGCAAAAATTAATGCAATCCAAAGTTCTAAGATGTTGGTGGTTTCCTTTCAAATAATCTAAAGCTCTGTGTCACAGAATCGGATCATTAGGTCGGAAACAATTCTCCTAGCAAATGGAATATAGCTCAGACAGTACCTGAAAAAGCTCAAATTGAATGATATAAATAGTCTAGGTAAAACATTAGAAATGCATAAGTAAAATAGAAAAGCTTCTTGGGGATCTTACCATAAGGGTAGAGTCTTGAACACTATAAAGTATAAGTTATAAATTATGCATTGAAGGAAACCGAGGCAAACACCAAGAAGTTTCCACAATATTGAAAATGATAAATGTCAAAGGCCAACTTACCAAATAAGGGCACATATCTCACATATGATTGCAAGTAATGTCAAAATCTTGCTTTGAATCTGGCAAATGGAAAGTTCAAAAAAATGACATGTGATTCCATGATAGTCAAATAATATATTGAATATGGTTCTCATACTGTAAAAAACTGAAAGAACAAAGAAACCTTAAAACAATTAGCAATGATTAGAAATGGCAAAAAAGAGAACTACATCATGTTCTAATGCAGTTTGGAATTGTCAACTTCCAGTACCACATAGAAGTCTGTGTCTCTATGATTATACGGCATGTGCAAACTCAGTAAACGAGGTTTAAACAATTTCACATCAGGCTGTCATAGATTCAAACTTCCTTCACTTACTAAAAAGTGCCAGCATTATTCTACGAGTCACTGGTTCAAGATAGCAAACTCACCCAGAGAGCACAAATGAGAGCAAGAACAACAAATCCAATGTAAATAGCTGTTGCATAAACACGAACAGAATCAAACATCATACGTAGCTGTTGCTCAGGTCCCATCAGGAATGCTGTGCTGTCAAAGAATACCACAAAATTAAAATATGAGAAACCTTGAGAGGCAAACAATTTAGTAAAAATTGAACTATACTAGGAACTATTCATCACCAATAATTCATTCTTTAGAAGTCTATTTTGTTGAGACTGTTTAAGTCATTGACTCAACGTTACAAGAGCTGCATTGTATATAGGTTAAAAATTCCAGCATGGAACAGACATTAAACTAATAGATTGCCTGGTTTGCTAAAATTGGTTTCAGATCAAATCTGAGAGCCTGATATGTCAAGACACAAAGTTACACCAATTATGCAACACTCGCAAGGATGGCTAAAAGTTGAGACACTATTCTTTTGTTAAGATGTCCAGAAGCAGCATTTGTAACTCAATTAAACCAAAATATTCGATCAGAGAATATAACATTGTAGTTCTGTTAGACTCACAGAACCAATCAACCAACCTTCCAACTGCTAAGACATTGCCGAAGGTGAACAATAATGCAAATTTGATGGGTTTGGCAAACACAATAAAGGACTGCAAAAGAGACAAAAAGCTGCAAGATAATGTCATAAATTTATCAATATTACAATTTAAATAACTTGCTTTACAATTACAATTGGGCTATAATTTTCCCCAAGATGAACCAAAAAAATATATCGGGGGCTTGCTTTAAAATTACAATTTCATACAGCTTACTCCTTTCGTGGAAGTGAGGAGAAATTTAGAAATCATCTATTTTTCTAATGTGCTTTTAGCAAACAAGCTGGGGATAAAGCTCTGCAATTTTGTGGCATACCTTGACACATTAGAGACTAGTCCAATGAGTTTGTTTGGACTCAACAGAAATTGAGGGGCAAGGCTCTGATACCTGTCATCCTTAGAATCTGTTGGAGTGCCTATATCTACATGATCTGGACTGAGAGAAATGGTAGAATGTATGGGCAGAAACAAAGAAAAGTGGATGAGCTTGTCAATTGCATTGGAGAGACTATCTGGCTGTGACTTGCAAATGTCACTAGGATTTCTAGTAACTAAGTCAATATGGATCTGTCCTATAAATCAGGACTTAGTGAAAAGACTATTTAAAATGTATTTTTTTTTTTATCTTTTCTGTTCCTTTGTTTGCTGCTATTGCAGCTGTTGACCTTGTAACTGGGCTTCTCTGTTCTTCTTTGGCAATAAAAAATTTCAATTAACCAATGTATATTATACATATAACAGGGGCACCCCTTTAGCTTAAGAGCTACAACCGAGGTCTCCAAAATTCGTGAACTGTAAAGACTAAAGAACAACAATGCTAATATTCATTAAACCCTTAAATCTTAATGTGTTGGAAGAAAAAAGAATTCAATGATCATACCAGAAACATAAGAACAAGACCCGAAAGTAAACAAGCGGCGAATGAGTAAATTCTCTGCATCATACAAGAAATACCCAAATTGAATTACTGAAAGAAACATGAGATCTGAAGAAACTGAAATTCTAAGTGTTAAAAATGAATGAAGAAAACAGAATACCTGCGTAGGAGAGAGAGAGCATAAACCTTCAGATTCTTCATCTAGGAATCTTTCTGTTCTCTCTTCTTCATCACCCCCCGACATAACATATTCCTTCATTTTCCACATTTTTCACTTCACTTTCTTTCCTATATATAACTTGCTTTCTCCACTGCCGCCCATTAAATAAGGAGGAGACGCTTTCTTTTCTTTTCTGTTATTTTTTCTTTCTTTTTTCATTTCATTTATCGGGTTAATGATGAAAAGGAAACTGGAATCTCTTTAGTTCTAATTAAATTAGCTAATCATGACATGCCACGTCATGAATTGATAGTATTTAGTCGGTTAAAACGATGACGTTTGGTCTGATTAGAGAATAGTTAAATTTCTCAAAAGGGAATTGAGAAATCGATTTTTGGACCCGTGGCCATCTGGCAAAATTAGCGCAAGAATAAAACCACGCCTCTGCCGCAACTGCAAATATCGACTGAGATAGAAACCCTAGACGGTTGCTAGGTAAACCGGAAGCCGAGATGTCTTCGACGCTTCTCGAGGTGACTCGTGCGTCTCACGAAGATGTGGAACGGCTGGAGCGGCTCATAGTGAAGGACCTGCAAAATGAGCCGCCTACCGCCAAAGACCGCTTGTATCAAAGCCATCGCGTTCGCAATAATATTGATACCATCATCGCCACTACCGAAAAGCTCGTAATTTCCTCCTCACCTTTTACAAATTGAGTTACGGTTAAAGTTTTTCTTTGTTTTTTTTTTAAAGAAAACGTAGTACTTATTTTTGAATGGATGGCTTCAGATTGAGATATATGAAGACAAAGATAATGCCAGGAAAGATGAAATTGCGGCTCTCGGAGGTCAAACTGCTACTGGAATTAACGTCTTTAGTGCATTTTATGATAGATTGAAGGAGGTAACTTTTTACTCTTTCTTTTTAACTTTGAATTGTAAATGCTAAGCTTTAATTTTACAAAATCCTGCCTTTTCTTAGAAGCATGAATAAATCTGAATGATTTTCACAATTATTCTATTAGCAAAAGAGGATAAGTATCATCCAAAATAGATGTTTAGTGAAGTAATTACATTAATGCAGATTCGTGAGTACCATAGAAAACATCCCGCTGCTCGCTTTGTTGATGCTAATGAAGAGTACGAGTCTTTGCTCAAAGAAGAACCAGTCATCGAGTTCAGTGGCGAGGTCTATCTCTCTTTCTCTCTCTCTCTCTCTCTCTCACACACACACACACACACACACACAATTGACACCTTATATTACACTAATATGTTATTTTATATTATGTTCTTCTTTCTGGCTTCTGGTCTTACTTGTTAGCAATTCATTTTCAGGAAGCCTTGGGTCGCTACCTGGACCTACACGAATTGTTCAATCAGTACATTAATTCTAAATTTGGAGCCAAAATTGAATATTCAGCGTACCTTGATACCTTTTCACAACCGCATGATATCCCTTGGAAACTGAAGTCAACAAGGTAAACTTTCCTCAATTCTGTTTTTATATTCATTCTTTTAATAAGGTGATTGCCCACAGTTTAATTGTTTTCCGGTTTTCTACTTATTTGGCATCCTGCTTCTACTTTATTTGCAAATATTGTTTTCTGTAGGCAATACAGGGAGTATATGGGGAATCTGCTGGAGTATCTAATGTACTTCTTTCAGAGGACAGAACCATTGCAAGATCTTGACAGAATATTTTCCAAGGTTCACATTACTTATTTAAAGTTACTTGCATATTTTTATCCAAAAAGAGATTCTAACCTTGAGGATGTTATAAAGCTAAACCCAAACCCTATTTTGTAACATGGGGTTATAGATTTTTTTAAAACAATTTAGTCACGAGTCTTGGCCTTGATCTATATCAATATAAAATGGAACTTCTTTTTTTAAGAAATTTAATTGTTCTAATAAATTAAAATACATTTTTGGTGGTTTATGATAGGTTGAGGCTGAGTTTGAGGAGCAATGGGCTGATGGTCAGGTACAAGGATGGGAAAAACAAGGTCAAGAAAATGGAGATGATCCTACCCAGCATACCGTGATTGATCTTGATTATTACAGTGCAGTTGAAGAGCTGATGGAAGTGGGTCCAGAAAGGTTAAAGGAGGTAATTGTAGTCTTCTTTAATCATGTCATCATTTCTAGCAAGTTGTTGTTTTAGTGACTTAAATTTGTATTCAGTTTGTAGAAATGTGTTGTTGTTCATCCTTTTTTAGACAAATGCATGGTCAAGTTGCCTTAAATGATGAAAAATGAAGAAACAGATTGCTATTGTATTCTTTGATCTTGTCACTCTAATCATCTCTCTTTCTGGTTAATTAATTAATTTGAGAATGAAAAAGTAAGATTAGGTGGGAGAAGGATATCCATTCTTATGCTGTGGTTTATTATGTTCATTTAAAGTAGCTTTTTCTGTTTTAATTGCTTTAATTTGGATTTAAGGATCCATTTCAATTACATGTAAGCTTTTTCACTTTGCCAGAAGGGCATTATTTGTTAAGAGCTGCTTATGAACAACCACATTGAAAAGGTTTTTGTAGGCAATTATTGGATATGTACTTAAAATACTTTGCTAAAAGCTTAAAAGTTGAATGAATTACCACTTTTTGGATTCCTTCTTCTTAGTTGATGAGTGAATTATTTATATATACTCACAGGCATTGGCAGCAATAGGATTAAAAACTGGTGGTACTGTCCAGCAGCGTGCAGAGAGGCTTTTCCTCACAAAGGTAATAGCACTTTATAATTTCTCTCTCTCTCTCTCTCTCTCTCTCTCTCTATAACTGTATTGTACTTCTGGTATGAGGGAATACCCAACTTTGGTTTAGTACATTGAATTAAATTGGAAATCTTCCGTATCCTTTGAGTTTGTTCTTGCTGAAGGGAATCTTGATTACTTTTGGGATGGCAATTGGGTTTTGTCATCATTATATGAGAGCTTTTGAACTGGTTTTGAGAAATCTGCATATCAGACTCTCTTGCTATAATTTTCTCAAGGGAATTAGGAGTTTATGATTTGGAGTCATGGTAGAAAGGAAAATAGGTCTATGAAAGAGGTATTGCTTGGAGCTCGGAATTAGTGGAGATCGAAGGACAAATCTGTGGTGAACCCTGATACGGCCTATGAAATAATAGGATTCTCAGTCGTTATGTCATGAGATGTTGGTGGGATGACTATAGACTGGTTTAAATGGTGATTGTGTTTTCCTGATAATTTAATATCAAATAAATTCAAAAATATATTCAATGTCTCCATATATTTTACGCAGGACACACCTTTGGAAAAGCTGGACAAGAAACATTTTGCCAAAGGCGCACGTGTACCAGAGCAAAATGTGTCTACTGCAGTTCCACAAGACATTAACAGTCTGAAAGATGTTGCATCGATGGAGGCCAAGATGAAGAAACTCTGTGATTTACTGAGCAAGGTTAGTTGGTTGGTTACTTTGTCCTAACCATCTTTGACAAAAAATTGAAATATGAGGGAAAACAATTGCAAAAGTTCATTTTGCTTCTGCTTGTAGTCCAGATATGGTAATTGTTGTGGGTAGTATTTAATTGATATTTCTGTGACCTTTTGTAGACAATTGAACAAACAAAGGAAAATGTGGTAAAGAAGCAAGCGTTAACATTTGAGGAAATGGAACAAGAACGTGAGGAGGTAAGCTAATCTCTTATTTTATAGCCATTCAAGTGCTTCTAGTACTAGAAAAAAATTTTCATTGCTCATGTTGTGATGTTATGAGTATAATTCATGTAATCGCCAAACCTTCAACACCCTGTAGGGATGGCAGTGGCAATAGGTAGGGTTTTGGATGTGGGGACCTGTCGGCTCCTATCCATTTGGTGTCAACCCATTTTTGGGTCTTTGGACCTCACTTTCTGAATGGTAATTGGCAAAATATTTTCCTGCATTTTTACATCTTTGATGGGAGCAGAAGCAGTTTAGCTTTTTGCTTAAATGTAGAGGGCCACATTTTAAATTGGAGAATATTAGGAATTTTACCCATTTTCTATGATTGTGTTTAGAAGCACACAATGAATGGAAGGGATGCGGTATCTTTGGCCGAGATATTGGTTTTTCACTTTTCCTCTACCATTGACTTGGGATGTTGGTGTTTTGTCTTTAATTGGATGTGTTTTTTTTCATCATAATAAGGTACCAGCATTTGTACAACCATCATGGTTAATTAGTACCTTTGAATTATCAGTCCCCATTTTATGAGAAAAAAAAATAGTTATAAAAAGCAGAAACTTCTACTCTCGAAAATTTTTGGTATCTTTGAATTCTGTCTGTTGTGGTTTCTGACAATAAATGATGGCTTTCTAACAGGAAGAGACACAAGTTGACACTGAAAGTGATGAAGAAGATCAACAGATCTATAATCCTCTTAAATTGCCAATGGGTTGGGATGGGAAGCCTATACCTTACTGGCTTTACAAGCTTCATGGTCTTGGCCAGGTAATATCTCCTATTAATTCTTATTTTATCTGTGATTCGAACTTTTGCATGTGCAGTAACTTTGTCAACTAACGGATGACTAAACAAGAAGCATTGAAAGCTTGAATAAAACTAAAACTTATCTTGTTCATTGTTTTCTTAAACCTTTAGACTTATTATCCTTTATGGTTTATGAAGAATCCTACTAAAAAGGTTGATGTTTCTCTCCCACCTCCCTTTTCTTCTAATTCAAGAGAGGAGGAAGGATGGAGAGGGTGATGAAGTGTATTAGAATTTCTTCACTCTTGGATTGCCCAATACTTCTTTATGTCTCGGTCGTAGGATCTCATAGCTCCGCCCCCTTTTCTTATTCTTCTTCAGGAATTTAAGTGTGAGATTTGTGGGAACTACAGCTACTGGGGCCGTAGGGCTTTTGAGAGGCATTTCAAAGAATGGCGCCATCAGCATGGCATGCGATGTCTTGGTATTCCGAACACCAAGAACTTTAATGAAATCACCAATATTGAAGTACGTGATGTTTTTCAGATCTTGTGCAGTGATTTATGTTCTTTCTGCTTCATCTGCCTTCTTGTGGTTCTTTCATGATTGAGCTTGTGTGCCATTGGTTTTCTCATCTAATACATAATTGTTTGGCATACATGCCTTACTTTTTTTTCCAGTAAATAAAAAAAAAATTGATGGCTTGTGACCTTGTGATGGTAATGGTGACATGCATCTAGATAATGGCAACAAGTATTCACAAGGGCTGCAGTTATAAACCCCTTTTGTTCTCTTAATAATTATTAACATTTTGCATCTATATATATATATATATATTCAAATTTGACAGGAAGCAAAAGAGCTGTGGGGAAGGATACAAGAACGGCAAGGACTGAACAAGTGGCGCCCTGATCTTGAAGAAGAATATGAAGATAAAGAGGGTAACATCTATAACAAGAAGACATATACTGATCTTCAGCGGCAGGGACTGATTTAAAGATGTTTCTCTTGAAGAGCGTTTCGCATGCATCCAGATATGTTGCACGTGTTCATTACCGGTTATGAATTCCCTGATCATGTATAATACTCTTCTTAACGACAGGGCCTAAACCTTGGCAACCCTGGGGAATAGAGGTTGTTGCAGGTATATTAGGATGGACTATTGAATGGCAAAACAATCAGGCATTCAGGCTGTTCTTATTGAAGTCTTTGCTGAGCATACAGTTACATTTGCGGAAAAAAAAAAAAAAAAAAAAAAACTAAATATAGCTTAGCGTTGTTGCCTCTCTAATGAAAGATTGAGGTTCAAGATTCAAACTTACTCCTTTGTTTTGCCTCGTCTAAATGTGCCCAATAAAATGGTTAGTTCTATAACATTCTATTAAGGCATTCTCTCCATTTCTGGCTAAACTTGGCTTTCAATTACATTAACTGTACCAGATCAAGAAACATTTATAATTTGTAATTACTGTTGCCTCTAACTTTCATTTGCACAAGACCTTGCAAATATTAGTGCTGAGCCATTTACACCACGGAGGACAAGCATCCTTCAGTCAACATATGCTCCACACAAGATTGACAGCTCAAACATTTCAATGGGGGGTGGGGGCAGTGTCCGAATTTCCTGGACTATGCTTATTGCAACATCTGATTCATTGCGTCATCAATGACTCATTGTCACCTTAACATCATCTGGGAGGAGCTTAGCCACAGGAAGACTTGAGGGGAACTCCTTGAAGGGAATTGCTTTTCTCCATTTTCTACCATATAGTTTCTCAACTAAGAACCCTTAGAGTTTGATTGTCTCAAAGAGAATACTTCTGTTGGATTCTCCTTAAGATATAGTCGCCTCCCCAGCTTTTAAACTTGATAAGGAGTTCACTTGCAGTTTCCCCTTGACATCCTTTTGTCATGTGGCCAACCATGTTCCAGCATGAATGTCAAGCCAATTTAAGATGCAAATAAAAGCTCAAGTTTTGATTTATTGATAAAATATTAAATTTTAAAAAATAATAATTTAAAATTTAAAATTTTTACCTTTATACTTTTGTAACGGAATAAACTATTATACATATAAAATTTTTTAAATTTATAACTTTTAAATATTAATTTTAATATCATATCAATTGATTTAAAAATTAATAGATGCGATATTAAAATTTTAATTTAAATAATCGGTTTTAAATCCCTCAAAAAGAAAACAAAAAAAGAAAGACCAAAGTACTGGAAGCAGCTTTGTCCCCCTACTTTGCAATCGCTCCTATCCCTTGGGGTACTTGTTTTTATCGTACTCCCTCCCTGCACCCGAATCTACCCAACAAGCGGTCTTCGTTTGGTGGGTCCCAGCCTGTCAGACTCATCTTATCCTAAATGCTGTTCTCTCAAGATTTCACATACGCTATCGATCAAGTTCACGTTACTTCCGATGAGATCTACAACATATAATTATTTCTCGATCCCGGCTACTAACGTGTCATTTTCTTATTGGAACCAGTTGTTTTTAATCGCAAATAAACAGATTATTATTTGTTGCGACGACTTAGAGATTAAGTAGTGTTTAGCGACGACTTAAAGATTAAGTAGTGTTTAGTTTCAGAAAATAAAATTATTTTTTGTTTTTTTTTAAATAAAAAAGAATGAAAATATATTTGATAATTAAAAATAAAAATAAATTTTTAAAAAATTATAATAAAAATGAGTTAAAATATAAAAATTAAAAAAATATATTTTTAACTGTAAAATAAAAATTCATTATTTTTTATATTTTGTAAGTTATTATATTTAAATACTTTTTAATATTATTAATTAATAAATATATATTATATTAATAATTAAATTATATTAATAGTAATATTATTAAATATTTTATTTATTTTTGTATTTTAAAAAATAAAATTTATTTTTATTTATTAAATACATTTTTCAAAAAATAAAAAATAAAAATATTTTTTAAATAAAAATTAAACAAAAAATATTTTTTAAAACCAAACTATCCTAAAACCCTACCCAATCAGCAAAGCTAAGGACAAGACCATAATATGAGTAAATCTCAAGGGGTAGTCCTGTCAGATTGACAAAATTATCCCTGGTCTACCCAGAGTCTTATTAAATCGGATAAAATAAACGTAACAAAAAGCCCATTAAAACACACAAGGCTTGCCTCTTTTCTTCTCGTCTTCAAAATCAACTGCTCTTCTGCATTTATACCCAAAACGACCACCGTCTTCCTTCTTCAAACCCCCCAAAATCTCCCCCTGCCCTCGTAATTTCCCTCATTGTCGATCCCATTCCCCAACCGCCCCCGCCTCCACTCCTCTGATCTTTCTCTCCGTTCACCGTTCCGTCTCCATCCTCGTTAGGGTTCCCAGCGACTTCACTCCAACTCTGCGCAATTAGGGTTTCTACCATAATTTTTTTGTTCGTTTCGAGAATTGACGTTAATTTTTCTCTTTGAACGATTCGAGATTAGGGTTTTTATATTGAATGTTGATTTGAGATTAGGGTTTCGTTTTTTTATTAGGAGAGTTTTGTGTTCTATTCGTATTTTTATTTTCCGGTTAGGGTTTTTTTGAGTTCTCGTTGTTGGGCTCCGGTGATGCCGCGAAGTTCAAGGCACAAGTCAAGCAAGCATAGTTCTAAGGATGCTAGGGACTACTCAGATTCGGAGAAAGATTCGGGCTTGAAGGAGAAGGAAAAGAAGACTAAGGAGGAGAGCGGTGGTAGGATTTCGAAGGAGTCGGGATCCGGTGAGAAGAGAAAGCTCGATTTGAAGGAGACCAGTAAGGACCTATGCAGCTCGGGGAATGGCGAGTATGTGGAGTACAGCTCCTCAAAGCGGCGCAAAAATAAGGAAGATGATGGAGTGAGCGACAGGTGGAATGGCGGTGAGGATCATGGTAAAGGAGAGAAGAAGTCTAAGTCTTCTAGTGAATCAAAGAGTAAGAGACGAGAGGAGGTGGAAGAAGATGATGCAAAGAGGAGTAGGAGTGAGGGGAAATATCGAGAATCCATTAGAAAGGAGGAAAGGGAGAAAGAGAAGAAAGTTAAAGAAGGCAAGAGTGATAGGTTGATTGAGAGTGAAGAATACTGTACTGTAAAACAATCTGCTGAAAAAACTGGTAAGATAACTCATTGCTTGTTGGTTAGTTGCAATTACATATGTCCATTTCTATTTGTTTTTGTGCTGTTTTTGTTGTTAGGTTGTCAGAAGGAAAATGAATTATGTCTGGGGACACCAAAACTGTTTGTTTTAGAATATAGCCACTTTGGTTCCAGCTATTCATTTAAGATTCAATTCATTTTCCATTCTGTTTGCAATAATTTCTTGCTCATATCAGTTTTATGTCCCAGTAAACCTATTCAACTTATAGCTTTACTTGACTTTCTTGTGCATTTGCATTCAATCCATGTACTAGCATGTATGTAAGTTCATCAACTATATATGGATTATTCAATTTTGCAATCAATTCCATCTGCAATGCAACAAAATCACGTATCGAGAGACACGTTCTCAAACATGGACTGCCTAGAGATGAATTAAGGGTGTATTTGGTTTATGACATGAAAAAAATTACTAGATATCAAAGATGAGCTATCTAGACAACTTTGTATCTTATTTGGCATCAATTTTACAAGTAATTTGAGGTTATTTTTTATTTTTGGATAAGTGAAGCATTGCATCTTCATGACAGTAATCCGATTTGATCATATCAATTGGAATTACATTCATTCACCTTGTAACATTTGCCTGTTTCACATGATGAAACTAAGATCTCGCAAAAAGTGGCATAATGGTTGTTGAGTGATAGAAGGCTATTATATTTTATTTTGTTTTCAAGAGGACTAAAATAATAGCAGAGAAAAAGTTCGTCAAACAAAATAAAATATTATTGCATCCTATCACTCAACAACCATTATGCCACTTTTATTAATCACTATTCGTTGTTAATCGGTAGAAAGAATATATTTGTAATTTCAACTGTAGCTAAATTTCAATCTATAGATTTATGAAGAAAGCTAGTCTTAATCAATGTTTCATGATCACATTCATGTTTTTATATTTTTTTTACACTTACAAAGCATCTGTAATTGATTTTATTTATCTATGTTTCAGAGATTACCATGAATTTTTTTTTTGTTTTTGTATTAGGAAGTTTAACTTCAAACCACATAATTCTTAAGTGTTAAGATTTAACTGATTTAGGTACTTATTTGCTTAATGAGAAAAAGAAGAAAAATAGATGTTTTTGTTTATGGGATGAGAAGTTGGGTTGAGGAATTTAAACAGTAGTTGACATAGTTGAAATTAATGGGAGAAGATTGTTTCTACATATTAGTTTTTATGATATTAGGAAGGTGTGGTTTTTGCATTGTTTTTATAGCCTTCTGAGTACTGTTAGAAGGCAAGTAATGTCTGACCTTAAAAGTTGATGCATTATTCTTTTCTGCATTGACATGCGCCCTGTTTTTGAGTCCCTAGAGTTAATGGCATATGGACCATTTTTAGGTCAATTAGGATGCTTATCTTTTTCTATTTTTATCTTCAATATTAAAATGAAATTGTTGGTTAGTCTTCAGCAGTGCGTTTTCCTTTTTTTCTAGTTTCCTGTTTCTGCGTATTGGCTTGAAAGGGATCAAAATTCGAAAATTTAAGTAGAATCTCCAATATGGATTTTCTTTTATCTTCAAAATGTTATTTTAAAAGTACTTTTCCATATAGGGTTCACTGTTTTGGGATAAGAGACTAATTTATATGTAAATTCAGAGGAGAATTTGCTAGGAGAAGCTTGAAGTTGCCACACTTCTGTGTACACATCTAGAAGTGCACTTATATGTGTTTTTTCAAAGTAATATGAAATCAGTTTCCCAACTTATATTAGGAATTCAGTTTAGCCAAGGTTGGTCAAAGTCTGCATGGATCCTAGGTACATATAAATTCCATGGACCTGAATGTCTCCTCTTCAGTTCAGCCTTGAATAACTTGAGGGTAATGAAGTAAGGTATTGCCTTGGTGATGGTGTTTCCAATATTTCCAATATCAATAAATGATAATGAAGGGAGTTTTGAAGGTTAATAATATATAATGGGAAGTGCTAACTTTTTACTAATAGTTTTGTATTTAAAAATATTTTGCAATAAATACACCATCAAGATCCTCAGTTGGTAATGAAAGAATGTTCCATCTTTCATAAGCTGTCATGGTGAGTCATCTCACTATGAGTATTTGGTCATCTAGCCACTTGTGTTTTGGCCTGGAGATGTTGTTTTAGTCAGTGGTGAGCTGACTTTTGTTTCAGACCTAATACAAAAGGTTGGATTTTGATGAGTTGGCTCAAATATATCAATGAATTTTGACACTTATTATTGATTTCTGATTTTACAGAGATTTAAAATGATTGTTAGGTTTTAGTAGACTATATAAGTCTTACTTGTATTCTTTTTGAATTATAATATTGAGCTTGTGATCTTTCACTTTTCTTTTTGTTTTTAAATCTCCTATTAAGCATTGGATTGTTGTTCATTTTCAGTGTTATATTTGTATGTAGTCATTGCTCTGCTAGGTATATTGTTACATATCTTGCATTGTACATTCCCCCTAGGTTCTCTTCTATTTGTGAAAATTGATAAACTGTATGGTCATTGTCAACTGGGATTTTCGGATGATTTTTTTTATTTTGATAGATGTGTAGGCTGAAATGAAAATTTAACTGTTGAGAATTTTTTTATGAGTTGTTTTTTTCTTGCAAATAGTCGATTAAATATTCAGGGTAATGTCTAATTAATTTATTTGTAGTTTCATGCACTGAAACCAGAAGTCTGTCACTTTCATTAAATGAGTTTTACTTTTTTACCTCATGACTTCTTGTATAATTTATCCTTTTTGCTGTGTGGGAAATACTAATTGTGAATAACTTGGTCATGCTGAAATTCTTTTTTTATATCTTTTATCTTTGTCATTCCAGAATTGGATGTACCCGATCCATTGCAAAGTCCTGAATCAGAGAGCCAGCTTGAGAGACGACTTAGGAAAAAGAGAGATGGTTCTGGTGATGGGGATAAGCATCTGGAAGATAATGGAGACATTTTGGATAGACGGGTGTCATTAAGGAATGATACTGGCAAGGATGGAAGAGCAAAAGATGAGAAGCACAAGGATGAGAGATACAAAGACAAGTATCGAGAAGACATGGACCGTGAAGATAAGTACCGAGATGATAAATTGAGAGATGATCGACCAGCAAGAGATCATGCTAATAGTAAGTCTAGTGAGAAGCATGTAAGGGATGAAAAAGATGCTGTGGAAGTTCAGCAGAAGAAGTTCAAGGTTCAAGATAGTGAGCATGAGCGTGACCATGACCATGACCATAACCATGATAGAGAGCGTGATCGTGATAGGGAGCGGGAGCGTAATCGAGAATTGGATTTGGGACGTGATCGAGAGCGCGAGCGTTATCGTGACCATTATCGAGAACGTGACCGCAATCGTGATCGTGATTATGACCGTGATCGTTATTATGATCATGACCGAGATCGAGAACGTGATCGTCGTGATAGGGACAAGGATAGAGATCGCGACCATGGTCGAGATATTGATCATGACCACGATGGGTTACATGATGAACGGAGTGTTAGATACAAAGATAGCAAGGGAAGGAAGAGATCTCCTGATGATCGAGATGATGGTAACGATACTAAATCTAGAGGTAGCAAAGCACACTATTCTGACATGGAAAACAAGTCATTGACTAGTGGTAGAGTTGAATTTGATGCTGATAGGGGAAAGTCTCAGTCACAACAAGCCAATGTAGATGCTGCTATAGGCAACAACAAGAGGACTTCTCCCAGCTTGAGTTCCCATGGTGGGACTGACGAGTATAGGTACTTTGTTTCTTTATCACACCCCCTTCAATATTTTTGATTCCTTATTCAGTGGATTAAATGGTAAACTGATAAAACAATGGTATGGTATTGAGCTGTTAATTTCTATCAGATTTCAGATTTATTTTTTGACAATTTAAACCATTTTACGTCTCATTTTGTGTGGCATTCTACTTATTTTTGGTGCTTGTGGGTATGTCCCCATACCACTCTCCCAAGTGCTTTGTTGAGAGTATAATATAGAGTTATTTTCTCTTACAGACATTTGAAACAAGAAGATTCAAAGTATAGAGATTCAATGGCAGAGCAGAGGTCCAAAGCAGTTTCATCAAGAGAGGTAACTAGTGTTTCTGTGGCATCTGAGAGAGGTGCCAAGTACAGAGCCATGGAGAAATCAAGTAGAGTTGATGAGGGCCATTCTGGGGAGTTACCAATTGAGAGGTCCTCAAGTTCAAAAGCATCCCCAATGAGTATGATGGAAAGATCTCCTTCTTCAACAAGTCTTGAGCGGAGATATATGAATAGAAGTGGTGTTAGGTGGAGCCTTGACAAAGAAGAGACAGGATGGAGGGGCAGTGCCTCCTTTGGTGGCAGAGAATTATCTGCTGTCGAGGATAGACTAGGTCGAGACTTACCTCCTGAGAGGCCTCTTTTGGATGAATCCTTTCAAGCAGATTCTGCATTTTATAATAGAGGTGGTCAGGGCAACTCGTCTTTCATTCCGCAGCCACCTGGTTTCAGAGCTGGAATTGGCAGCCCTTCTTTCATGGGTTCTTTGGAAGAAGATAATAGAATTAATATCAGTGGCCGTTACAAGTGGAGTGGTGATCTGAATGTTGGAAGAGGGCAAGCAAATACTTGGCGGGGTGCCCCAAACTGGTCATCACCTGTTCCAAATGGCTTCATCCCTTTCCCACCTGGGCCATCCCATGGTGGTTTTCAAGCGATGATCCCACAGTTTCCTTCTCCATCTCTGTTTGGTGTTAGACCCTCAATGGAAATTAATCACTCTGGGATTCCGTATCATATGGCTGATGCTGAAAGTTTTTCCAACCATTTGCGTCCAATGGGTTGGCAGAATATGATGGATGGCTCTGGTCCAGCTCATTTGCATGGTTGGGATGGAAATAATGTCGCTTTTAGCGATGAAGCACACATGTTCAGGGGCCCTGAATGGGAGCAGAATAGGCATCCTGGGAATGGTCGGAGATGGGATACCAGTTCAGATGTGTGGAAAGGACAAAATGGTGATGTGGACTTGCCCTCAACATCTCAGAAAGAGGATCATCCTGTGCAGGCCCCTCTTGATGATGTTTATGATGGACAGGAACATCAGAGGTCTCAATATGAAAATGACAATAGTGGTGTTCAGGTGAAAGGCCTTGAAATAAGATCTGATGTCATGTCACCAGTTAAAGAATCTTCTAGATTTTCACCTGAGATTCCACTCAAGGCAGCTGAATCTTCCGAAATATCAAGTGATAATGGTGGTGCTCATTATTGCCAGCTTTATCTTTCTAAGCTTGACATTTCAACAGAACTTGCTGGTTCTGAGTTGTATGACCAGTGTATGGGTTTACTGAATGTGGAGCGAAGTAAAAATTTGGTTAAAGATGTAACAATGCTTGTGAATTTGAAGGTAGAGAACCTTTTTCTACATAAATCTTTCTCTTAGTATCTAATTTAGCTGATATTTTGACTTATAATCCCCTTTCTATCAAATTTTGTCAGAACGGTGGACGAGCATTACAAAAGGCTTCCATTGCTGTGCTGAGCCCTTCGCTCATTCCTGCAACTAATGCTCTTGTTTTTCAGGTAGTTGGGAAGTTTATATATCCATATATGTACAGTGTATGCATGCATGCATGCATTTATGCATCTAAGCTCTTTCTTTTCTGTTACTTCTTTGGTGGGGAAGGCGAAGCTCATTTTTATTTTTAGAAACTAGGTTTGCATTTTTTTTGGTTTGGGGGGGGGAGAAGGAGACTAATAGAAGATCTTATATGGTTAGTTGCTGCTTATTTTGAAAACTGATGTGCAATAAACTCTTTATTTCTTTTGCCTTTATTTTTTCATGTTAGGCTCTTGTGTTGAAGGCCCTCCCACGTTGCCCTATTTTATTTTTCTGCACTTAGTTTTCCAACTCTCTTTCTTTTCTTTTCTTTTTCTTTTTTTTTTGAAGTGGTGGCGTTGGGGGGTTGCGGGAAAGGGATTTAGTTCATGTTATATGGTTAGTTGCTGCTTATTTTGAAAACTGATGTGCAATAAACTCTTTATTTCTTTTGCCTTTATTTTTTCATGTTAGGCTCTTGTGTTGAAGGCCCTCCCACGTTGCCCTATTTTATTTTTCTGCACTTAGTTTTCCAACTCTCTTTCTTTTCTTTTCTTTTTCTTTTTTTTTTGAAGTGGTGGCGTTGGGGGGTTGCGGGAAAGGGATTTAGTTCATTTGGAAGTCGGTGATAATGGTTGCAAAAAGTATGCAAGAGAATAGGATTTTGACTTGTTAGGTAGGTTTAATAAAAATTTTACCTGGGGAAGGAGACTAATAGAAGATCTTATATGGTTAGTTGCTGCTTATTTTGAAAACTGATGTGCAATAAACTCTTTATTTCTTTTGCCTTTATTTTTTCATGTTAGGCTCTTGTGTTGAAGGCCCTCCCACGTTGCCCTATTTTATTTTTCTGCACTTAGTTTTCCAACTCTCTTTCTTTTCTTTTCTTTTTCTTTTCTTTTTGAAGTGGTGGCGTTGGGGGGTTGCGGGAAAGGGATTTAGTTCATTTGGAAGTCGGTGATAATGGTTGCAAAAAGTATGCAAGAGAATAGGATTTTGACTTGTTAGGTAGGTTTAATAAAAATTTTACCTGGGGAAGGAGACTAATAGAAGATCTTATATGGTTAGTTGCTGCTTATTTTGAAAACTGATGTGCAATAAACTCTTTATTTCTTTTGCCTTTATTTTTTCATGTTAGGCTCTTGTGTTGAAGGCCCTCCCACGTTGCCCTATTTTATTTTCTGCACTTAGTTTTCCAACTCTCTTTCTTTTCTTTTCTTTTCTTTTTCTTTTTTTTTTGGAAGTGGTGGCGTTGGGGGGTTGCGGGAAAGGGATTTAGTTCATTTGGAAGTCGGTGATAATGGTTACAAAAAGTATGCAAGAGAATAGGGTTTTGACTTGTTAGGTAGGTTTAATAAAAATTTTACCTGGGGAATGCATCCTCTCCCAGCCTTTTTCCTATTTCAGACCCATAGACCCTTTGTAATTTTTAATATTTTTTATATTTTTAAGCAATGATATTCTTCAGATCCAGTCTGGAACGTTAAGACATTTTTCTTCCCCCAGACCAAACATAGTAATTTTCTACTTCCTCTTTGAACTTCTGATTCTAAACTAATGTTTGACATTTGTTTTCTGACTTGTAGAAAGCCATGGACCTCTACAAGAAGCAGAGGCTACAAATGGGTGCTATCCCAAATGTAAATGGTGGAATGTTAGCATTTATTTCAGCATCCAATAAGGAGAAGGGGAAGGAGCAAAGTTCTGATCATGTGCTAGAAGAAACAGAGGGGCCAGTTTTGATTTCTGATGCAGAAATGCTGGATTCAGCAATGCTGAATTCAGATCAGCAGAAAGGAGAAGCTGTTCCAATTGCTGCTTCTCAGGAGAATATGGAGCAGCTAGCTTCACTTCAAAGTGCGGTGTTACCAGATCATATGGATATCCTTTCTCCAGAGAAATCCAAACTGCCAAAAAGTGATTTTGGTCAAATGAGCCCAAAGATGCCTAAACCAGTTTTGAATGGCAATAAGGCAGAAGAGATGGAGTCTGGACAGATGAATTCACGGGATGATGTAGTTGGAGATTCTTTACAGTCACCTGATGATGCATCAGAGGCTGTTCTTTTACCTACTGATGGTGAAAATTCAAATGATATAAAGAAAAATGAAGGTTTTGGTGATGCAATTAGTGGTTCTTTATTTTTGTCAGATGGATCTGCTAAGGTATGTGGGGCTTTGATTCCTGGGTCAAATGAGTCTGAGTCGGTAATTTTAAGTCGGATACATCATTCTCCTGAAAATACACATTGAGACAATTTATATATATATCCTTGTTCTTTAATGCGCTTTGCTTAATTTATATGTTTTTATTGCCCATCTTTTATTAAGGAAATAAAATGAGATATGCCATTTGGCATTCCTTGATCTAAGAAGATTTGGGTTTTGGTGGTGGGGGGGGGGGGGTGGAGATGGTGTTTTTGTTGTGTTCAGCCTGGGTCACGATGGCATATTCGTCATGTTTTTGACGAGGAATGTATTTTTTGTTAGCATATGGTCCCACAAAAGCATTGTCTGAAATAACGTAAAACATGCTTACGAAACTTTTTAAATATTAATATCTCTTTAATATTGGAGACAGCATAGGTTAATTAATCAGGTGGATTTTTATTTTTTAGAAATTTCTCACACTTGTTCAAATGCCTGATTGTCGTAGAGAAACAGTTTCTCATTATTGTTTGTCTGAACCTTTGATGCTCTCTCTATATAGTCTTTTACTCACTCAATGGAGTATTTGCAAATAAAAACGTTAAGGTCGTAAAGCTTCTAAACTTTATTATATATAATTAATGGGCCTATGTTTGCCATGCCATTACCCTATTGCTATTGCCTCACTTATTCCTATGTGATTATCTGATTATGTATATATTTTTACGTAACAAGCTGCATATAGAGGGAAATATGTTAGATGGTTTTGTCGAATTTTTCATCCAAGTTTTCCAACTCTTTTCAACCCATTTTTTTCTCACTCTATCCTCTACGTATTTTTTTTTTTTTACATATATCACAATAAATAACGATAATTGGTAAGAACTATTCACTTTCTTATTTTAACATCACCACATAAGAAATTATACTTTTTTTTTAATATTTATGATCTCAAAGCTCTCACTCTACTTTTCTAAGCTGGTTTTTTTTTTTTTTTTATGACAACGTATGATAACTATACTTTTATAAAGGAATGTTGCTCATGATTCACACATTAGATATATTTTATATCTAATGCAAACAGAAGTATCTAATGTGTTAATAAATTGGATATATTTGATGAAAAATTGTTAATAAATTATTATTATATTATATTTGTTTGATCATTATAAATTTCATCGATTTTGAGTTTGATCTCAATTGAAGGTCTTTCTGAGTATTTGTTAAAGATTGTAAAAATTGATCATAAAAAATTGATGATACTAATAATAAATAATTTTTAAAATATCATATTAATTAATAAATTTATAATTTAAGTATTATATTAAAAAAATTTAAATTTAAATATTACTTAAAATATTTTACTATAATTTAAAAATTATTCGTAATATTGACTCTTTAAAGCTATACTGTCTTATGGTATAAGAGGCTACGAGTTTCAGGCATGAGAAGAGGTTGAACAAGAATGCTAGTCCTAAAATGGAAACTTGAAAAAGTAAAGAACAATTTCCATTTAACAACTTTTTAAGAAGCAAAATGTAAAACTGGCCAAAATAATTATATAAAAAAAATGGGTTACCATTCAACTATGACGAAAGTAAGCATTAACAAATATACACAACTGCTTGAAGAGCAGCTGGCAAATCTATAGTTTTATTAAGTATAAAATTTGTCAAGAAGGGAAAATAAATAATAATAATAATAATAATAATAATAATAATAATAGTAGGAAGATACATTTTCTTTTCTAGCAAAAATTACAAATTTGGGTGTAAAATGGTCGCGAGATTCCCCTTGCATTGGGAGAATGGGGTTAGTGGTCCTTGCGGAGAAACAATGGCCATGCTGTGTGTAATCCTAATTCATGAATTTTCGACAACCTGGAGCTTTACATAGACAGGGAACTTTGAATTCATCTGGTTCATGAGGATCAAACAATTAATCATACCTGCCAATCAGAAACAAAGCATTAAGAATTTTAACCAACAATCACCTATGTGCAGCAGAGAGAGAGAGAGAGAGAGAGAGAGAGTGAGCTACGTTGGCTCGTCTCCAGCAGAGACATTAGTCCTGACAATAAGAACAATCTGACTCTCATCATCGCCCACACTCATAATCCTTGCGTAGCAGTTGGGCATGCACTGCAAGAGTGATCCATTAAGAATATGTAATATAAATGCCAGAAGACAAACTATGAGAGATAAAATTTGTTAGTCCAAAATTTTTTTTCTCTGTTGAAGTGCCAACCAATAAAATACCAAAAGCAATTAGAGCATCAACAAATGCTCACTTACAGAATGATTGATTAAGCGTGCAATGTTCCCTTTGTCAGTGGCATCCACCACCACTGCTTCACTGATCTTGAACAACTGCAACATATATTTGTTCCCGCAATTCAGTCTCAAGAATAACATAGATGCAGAAAGCTACACAACAACTGGAATATTTTTGGCCGAATGAAGAATATGTTGCTCATTTGTGATCTTGTCTTATCCATACTATCAATTAGAAGAGAGAGAGATGGAAGATGCAAGGACCAAAACAAGTGGCACTTCCAAAAGCTTCGAAATACACTGGACAACATTCAGCATGAGAGTTGCTAAAACAAAACTTGAATATCACTGTCTAACCTAAACACTTTTACATCGAAAGATGACTAGAAACATTTGCAAATTGTACGAGTAAAGGAAAAATCATCTTACATAGCAGTTTTTTCCCTCTATTCTGTAACGTGCTTCTCTTAGATCAGCAGTAATTCGCCTCACTTGTTCCCCACGGTATTCAAGAACCAGTTGACAAACAAAAGCTTCTCATTCCATGTAGAAACTGATTTCAGTTGTCAGCAAATCAGAAAACATTAATATTCAAATTCTTCAGAAATACAAGGTTTGCAGCTCTGTACGGTGCAAAAACATTACTGCCCAATGCCAAGTTTTTCCAATATTCTATTAGAATAATTAGTTGCTATCTTAAAATACACTCTTAATTAGAATGTCATTTCAAATGCAAGATAAATATAGAATTGCACACATTATTTTAAGCTTTAATACAATTATTATGATACCCTTTTTATAATGAAAACATTACTTGTCCAAATCTTAGTATACGAATGTTTGATGTGTATTCAAAATGTTTCTGTATAAGAGCACAAATGCATAGTTGCTGTATGTTCTTAGGAAATTCTAGAAGCTGTTTTCATTTTAACTAATTTGCATCTCTTAACTATACTCCTTTGAACATAACATTAACATACAAGAAATACCATATTGTTTGCTTTCAGATTTTTCACTGAAATGGCGCTCTATAAGGAATTTGGAATTAGAATTTCATTTAGACCACAAGATAAATATAGAATTGCAATATTACTTTTAAGTTTTCAATATTAGTTTATTGAGATAGTAAATGACATCTTGAAATGAAAAAAACTCATGCGTTCCAATGCTTCCAAAACAGAATTCAGGCATTCCTATGTCCATTATAGTTACAAAAAGGCACAAGTCCTTGGATCTTTGTATAATCAATTTGTAGGAGGAAAAACCTCAGATGATAGCTTTATAACCCCAAGGAATTAAAAAATAAATTAAGCAAAAAAGGCTTTTCATAAAATACCATTTCTCCTTCTTGAATGTTTCTACGGGCAAAGAGGCCCCACCCATGTATTCCAGATCTACCAAAGCAAACTCAATCATTTTCAGTTCTCTGCATTCATTATGCACATCTTTTAGCAAACTGATCAGAATATAAGTTCTCAAAAGGAAGGATGGAGATTTGCCTGTAAGTGGTAGAGTCATTCCCTGAAAGATGAAAACCCTTTAGTCTCCTTTACTACCTGTTAATGGAACGAAATCAGTCATGGAACAAAGGGGAGAAATTGTTTTCTATTGGAATTCAAATTCAAAAGGCAAAAAGTGTAAACAAGCCCGTAGATTGTAGAAAGGATAGAAATTTACTCTGAATGCATCCAAACTCTGTATAGTGTTTAAAGGATGATGGCAAGGTCTCATTAATCAGTAGGCAATCGCTTCCTCTTCAGTTCTCTAGGTAAAGAGAAAATTTTACAGAGATTAAAATAATATGGGGGAGAGAGAGCGAAACTTGAACCATTTTCCCTGTTGTGATTCAGATACAAATACATAAAACAACATTGAGTAAAAGTATTGACTCAGGAAGGAAACAAAATCTGATGCTTTTCTTTCCTTCCCCTTCCCCCTTCTCTTTTTCCCTTTAAGTTAAAAATAAAATGCAGCTTTAAAGTTTAACTCATAAACCAACATACTTACAGCTCAACTCAGTGGGCCAAGGAAAAGGAAGGGAAAAAATTCTGGCAAAAACTTAGACAACTACATAGCAAAAGAATATACCAGGAATGAATTCAGGCAAACAGATACCCCAAGACAATATGTAGGAACATTTCCAACTTTCATGTAACTTTACCTTTCTATTATTATTTGATCTTTTGAAGACCCGACACCTAGCAGCAGAAAATGGCTCAAAATCAGTAGTTTCTACAGTTAGAACCTCTTCAATTTTCACTCTGTTTGATGAAATTAGCCTTGACCAACTCTTGGCAGATAAGACCCCCAGGGGGGTATTTATAATTAAAACAGTCTGGATTAGGAGCGCTGCACAATTGAAAAGAGAAGAAAGAAAAAAAAAAACAAGAACCAACATTTAGCACATGTGAAATTGCTCAACAAGAGAAACTCGGTAGATGTTCATAAAGCATACCGGTGATAAGCACAATATGACACCATTTTTGTTATTTGTCTGCTGTTTTTCTCCAAGCAATGTAACTGCAATTTAGAAAGAACAGATGAAGCAATGAAATGGTAACAAGAGATCAACCAGATGATCCTTGACAAATTACAAAGTAAAACCATATGAAAAGCAATCAACCTTAACATACTAATTCTTCAGCAATTTGACATATCTAACTATGAAAATCACATAATATTTCACAGGATTTCCAAAGAGAACTCTCTCTCTCTTAGGTTTATTAATTTTTTGTTTGTCTGTAACAACATTCTAAATTCTAATGTGAACTTGGAAAGTTCTAGGAAAGAGCAAGTTACCAAGAGCAATGAGACAAAATCACTTTAAGGTTTGATCTAAAACCAGCTAGATCTTGTACAGACTGGCTACAATTTATTGATTTCTTAAGATGAGATATCTTTTTTCTTTTTAGGCATGAATGGATGAGATACCACTCTAAAAAAAATA